GGAGTTAATGTTGCAATGCTATCTTTATATTGTTATCAAGTCACTTGAACACACACATTTTTATATATTTTTGAAAACTAGTTGCAGGGAGTCTAGTTGTGCTACCTTAAAACCCTCAGGAAGCCTGTGGCAGACCTAAAGGCAGAACCCACATCTGACTTACAACTTGTTCTGAGCCTAATTACAAAGCCCTCCTGCCTTCCTTAGGTGATAGAGGAAGTTCTGATTCTGACTTAGTGTAGACATTCTATAAGTGGTTTACTAGTGATCATGGGGTTTATTAGATAGCATATGTGTAGAAGGATAGGACAGGAACCTGACTTTGTGGAATGCATATTCCATATGCATGCCATATCCAAAAAATGTTAATTATGTGCAAAACAAGAAACACTTTCATCTATCCCTCTGCCAGAGGAGTGATATTCCTTTTGTCATGTCTTAGTTATTATAGAGCATCAATCATTGCACTGTCTAAATTCTCAGAAAAGAAGCAGAGCTATTGAGAAAAGCAGGATAGGAAAATCTAGGGTATTAACTTTTTTCCTTTTAGTCTACAAACTTGATGAATAGAGGAAGTTTTCATAAGAAAGCGTCATCATCTAAAACAATAAGTGCAAACTCTGAACCTGTAAAAATGTTTAGGATCCTATTTTAGTAACATCTTCAGGACTGTGCAAATTAATTAGCAGAACACTGAGGAAAGTAGATGACTTGGAATATTTTTAGAGCATTGTGTGAAGAAATATGAGCTTCAGTAGTCAATAATATATCATGGGACAGAGTATAAAAGGATATAATTTCATAATCTCAAATAATTGAGTGGACTTTTCTTCAGTCAAACCACATTAATTACCTTGAACAAGTTCCTTCTTCTGTACATGAGTTCCCCATCTGTAATGAGGATGTTACTTCTTTTCTCTCACCCCTGTCAATCTTGTCTGGTTAGATGATGAACTCTTTGGTGTAAGTTTGTTTCTTGCTAAATGTATATACAATCTCTAGTACACAGCCTAAAATCAGTTCTGCTGTGGGAAAAATAATCCAATTTCTAAAATAATTTATATAACAACTTACTGACATCAATATTCACTCATTCTAAAATTTCTGCTTTATTTTTACTGTAGCACTTTTCACAATGGGTGGAAATGGAGAAGGGCAGCCATGTAAGTTCCCCTTCAAATTTCAAGGCGTTTCCTATGACCAATGTACAACAGAAGGAAGGACAGATGGATATCGGTGGTGTGGAACTACTGAAGATTATGATAGAGATAAGAAATATGGATTCTGCCCAGAAACTGGTAAACAGAATTTGATTTTGATATTTTGATTTTGGACGACCACCTTACAGGGGTCATTTGACCCCAGTGCTCTTCCTGCCCTGGCAGGGGGTCGGACTAGATGATCTGCCCAGGTCCCTTCCGACCCTAGAAACTATGAAACTATGAAACTATTGCAATCCACTTTGTCACTATTCCATACACAACACGTGTAATCTTCCAATTGAGCAGTTAAAAGTACTTATGTGGTTCTGTTTGAATTTCTATTTCCAAGTGATCAAAAATGTTCCTGTTGTGGCACCTAGGCATACATACAAAAGCGCTTATAGAATTACATATAAACATGTTAATATCTTAGTATTAAACTTTAGCACAAGCAGTTAAGAACTGCTGCATTGCATTCCCTCCAGGAAATACAAAAATATAATGTCCTTTTTTGATATCAGAAAAAAAACCTGGAGAAACAGAATGCCATGTCTGCAAGGTTAAGTTTTAAGCACATGTTGATGAACAAATCCAAAACCTTTCAGCCCAGGTCCAGAAGAGATGTAGACTATAAAATACAGATCAGAACTCACCCAGTGAATTATACCCCAAAATGAATCAAGGCCAAGTCATGTCTTTGCGCTTTCACCACACAGTTCACCTGACTGAATCTGAATATGCTTGTTCAGACAGTCAGAACCACACACAGAGCATTAGACAAAACCTCAACGCTAAACCTTCCCTGAGTTTTGAAGTGGACAGTAATTTCCAGAGAGCATAGAGGTAACCATAGCAACAGTGAAATGGCTGAGGTGCATGATGTATCCCAACCAAAGTGTAATCCACTTTTAACTGGGAATGAGCACAGGCACATGTATATCTAAGCACATGTGTCTTTAATTTATAGGTCTAAGTGTCTACCACTATATGGTAATTTATATGGTAAATTATGACTTTTTAATGTCTCTGAAACATGAGCGCCAAATGAGGTACAAAAGCATGAAGGGAATTTAAGACTTAAGCAGTCAATGAGTAGTGCTTAACATTTCATTTTTTCTTGATCCTCCTGTTTAGTACAGTCAAAAATAATTTAATGAATATACCCTTGTGGAGTTACAAGATAATAGTGAGTAAAGTGAAAATGATATCTCCAGGAAAATTATCTTTCTGCTCTTTTTACAATTTTTAATGCTTGTTAACTTATTTCTTTACTATACAATATGTCACAGGAACAAAATGCATTTAGACAATTGTATAATTTGGAAAGAGTAAGATGTAGACTAGAGGCAAAGGTATTCATTAAGACCTCATAAATTGGCTACAGTGGTTCAACAGTCTTGGCACTTAACAGAGCCAAGGTGAAGCTACCAAACATAATAAAATAAACTGTAGACCATAAATTTAAACTTAATTCTGGAACAACGGCTGGCTGAGGAACAAACCAATTGAATATATTTTTTAAGCTTTTTAAAAATGTTGTAACCACAGGTACCAAAAGTATTTTTGCTTGGTTGCCTGTTATTTCTGGCCTTCTAGTGTATCACTACATTTTACCCTTAAAAGCAAAACAAAAAATATGAAAGTATCAAATTTAATGTATGGTGATATACACAGCAAAAACTAAGTGATTGTTAAATGAGTAGGAAAACACTCAAACTTTTAACCAAAATGTTATCTATAACTGGAGCCAGTTAACACACATGGTAACACACATTCCTTATTGCCTGTATTTCAAAGTAGTTTCTCCTCTTCTAATGAAGTTCACTAGGCCAATCTGGTCAGAGGTGAAATGGAGCCCCTATCCACACTGCACAGTGGGAAAATAACCATGTAGACTGGCCATGGTACAGAAGGAAAGATTTTTTTTTAACTTCATGAAAAGAAAAGGTTTACAAGACAGGGTATGGGGTTTTCCTTGAAGTTTTGTTAGTTCCATGTAGAAAAGACCAAACACCAGTCAAAGGTCCAAATCATGAAACCAACAGAAAGCAAAAGCCCAAGAAGAAGAATAGAAGCCCAAGAAGACAATAGAAGAGGGATTGAAAGAAGAAACTTTCCCAACCATACAACCACATACTTAGGTTGACATCCACTATTACTTCAACCCATGGGTCATAATAGCAGAAACATTGACATTCAGCTGAAAATTTTTACAGTCCAGTGGATCAGTATTAGTTTGGGGTCTACCACATAGTTCTCTGGCCTTTTCCCATCAGAGTGCATTGTAGAAGTCATCTTCACAGAAGAACATAGAGAGTCTCTTTGTATGAAATCTGTTTGTTTGCAGTCTAAGCATGGGTGACTGGTGCCTCCTGAGACGGGGGGGCAGTTTGTGGGTGGCAGCGGCAGTGGTGGGGTGTTGATTGGTGACAGCCCGCAGAAGCTGGAGGCAGTGGCATGGTGAGCAGTGAGCGCCCACAGAAGCCGGTGGTGGCAGCATGGCAAGTGGCAACCACCCACAGAAGCTAGCGGCAGTGGTGGCGGTGGAGATGGGGGGAGGTGGTGAGCAGTGACCACCTGCAGAAGTTGATGGTGGCAGTGGCACTAGCAGTAGCATGGCAAGCAGCGATCGCCTGCAGAAGCTGCCGGCTGTGGCAGCCAATTTCAGGGAGGGTATGTGCCACCCCTACCAGTCACCTATGGGTCTAAGTACCTCTGTCACCCACTTAAATTATGGTCTCATGTTAGTCACCTAATACAATAGGTGACTTTAGGACCTTAGGGTTGCATCCAGATGTACAGGCATGTGTAGTTTGTGATACTGCAAACCTCTTTGTAGCGCAACGTACCACATGACACATCACCTGGACAAAGGAGAAGAGGTTAATATCATATATTTGGACTTTAAAAAAGCTTTTGACCTAGTGTCCCATGATGTCCTCATGGCAAAATTGGGGAACTGCAGCCTCAACAGCCCTACAGTCTGTTGGCTGGGGAACTGGCTCTGAGGTCAGACCCAGAAAGTGGCAGTTGATGGAACTGAATCAACATGGCACATAGTGACCACTGATGTCCCCCAAGGCTCTGTTCTTGGACCTGTACTCTTTAATATATTTATAAATGATCTGGACTCTGGTGTCAGAAGTAGACTTGCTAAGTTGGCTGATGACACCAAACTATGGGGAAGAGTGGCCACACCTGAGGATAGGCTGGTGATCCAGGCTGACCTTGACAGGTTCGCAAGGTAGGTAGATGAAAACCTGATACAGAGAAAAAACCCGCATCAAACTTAGAGGCTTGGCAGTGCTACACTCGCTAGCACCACAACTGAAAGAGACTTGGGGGTCATGATTGAACACAAGATGAATGTGAGCCACCAATGCAATACTATAATCAGCAAAGCAAACAGAACTATGGCTTGCATCTACCAATGCATCTCAAGCAAGACCCAGGAAGTCACTGTCCCACTGTACTCAGCCTTGATAAGGCCACAGCTGGAGTACTGTGTCCAGCTGGGCTCCTCAATTCTGGGCTCCTCAATTCATAAAGGATGTAGAGAAACTTGAAAGAGTCCAGAGGAGAGCCACACACATGATCAGAGGGCAAGAGGGCATGCCTTATGAAGAGAGGCTGAGAGCCATCATGAAACATAGGCTCAGAGGTGACTTGATAGCAGCCTATAAGTACATAAGGGGTGTGCATCAGGAACTGGAAGAGCATCTGCTTGCCAGGGCAGCAGGGACTGTTGGAAGACAAGGTCCAACAGTCACAAACTCCTGGAAAACCTTTTTAGGCTGGACATAAGGAAAAAATTCTTTATGACCTGAGTCCCCAAGACCTGGAATAGCCTCCCCCAGAGGTGGTGCAAGCACCTACTCTGGACACCTTCAAGAAACATTTGGATGCCTATCTTGCTTGCTGCCAGGGGCTGCCCCAGGGGAAGGAGCTTCCTGCTCCTGGGGCAGGGGGCCAGACCTGATGATCTTTTGAGGTCCCTTGCAGTCCTACTGCCTATGAAATCTATGCCTGGAAAGTTAAAACATGCCCTGCACTTCAAATTTGCAGCAGGGGTGTAAATTTTGGAACCAGGAAATCCTGATAGCAAAAATAAATGGTGTGAAAAAAATGCACGGCACATACAAGAGGAATGTGTACTGGCAGACACAGAGGCTTGGTCCTCTTGGGAGATGTTCTGGCTGCTGGCCAGAGCTCTCCACTCCTTTAGTTGTCCCCCAGCTCCTCCAGCATGCCAAGAGCCACAAGCAAGAAGAGGGCAGTTTCCCTGAAGCAGGGCAATTTGCCCTACACCAAAGTGCATGTTCAGAGGCATGCACTGCACCAAAAAGTACTGGCACAAATTTGTGCTACTACTGTTTTGGTGCTGCAAGTGCACACCCCTGCATGTGGGGATGTGCCCTAGGACTTTATTTCATTTGCCAAGATGTCTCATATTGCATTAGACTCTACTCAGGACCCATTATTGCTTCAGCAAATAACATAAAACACAGCTGGTATAGGTTTCAATTAGCATTAGGGCTACATTTTGAAGTACTCTTGAGGTGTGTCTACATAAGACATGTTAAAGTGCCTTAGCACAAATTACTACAGAGTAAGGGCACGTGTCTACATGTGCATGCCCTTCCTGCTCAGTAAAAAATGGCTAATCATGACTAAATTTGATACCTGCAAATGCAGGTATAAAATTTAGGCACTATTAGTTAAAGTACAATAATGCACATATAGACATGTACCGGCACTAACTTTAGTGCCAGGTCTGCCTAGCCACTAGGGGACCACCCTGAACCCAACCTCAGGGCTTCTGGCTGACTGCTTCCCAGGGCTGGGATGCTCTGTGGAAGCCCCTAGCTGCAGGCTATAAAAGCCTGTGCCCATTTTGTGCCCTGGGACACACACACCAGGACCTCGGAGCACTTCAGGCCCTGTGTGCCCCCCTGGACAGGATCCAGGCTGCCTCTGCTAGTCCTGTCCCCTAGCCAGAGATGCTTCTTGGCCACAGGTGACTGTTGTAAAAGACTGCAGCCTGGTGCACCCCCTGCCTAGACCTGACAGCAGGGCCAGCACCTGCTCCCTGTTGCTGCTCACCCCCAATAGCATCTCCTTTCCTTGCAGGTGCTGTGTCCCATTTGCCTCTGCCATGTGGCTCCTGGTCACTGGCCATGCCCCTCTGCTGAGCTCTCCTGTGCACTGTCCAGGGACAGCCATCATGGATAGCCACACAGGGACCCAGAGAGCTGGTGTGGGATGCACCACCATGTCTTCCCCATCTTCCCTGTTGAGGACCAGCCTCACCTGTGTGTGCATGCCTGAGCCTTCCACCCAGGGCCCCAAGTGGAACCAGAAGGACATTGGCAACCTTGTGACCCTCTAGGTTGAGAGGTTAAGAGGCAGTTCACACAGGACGGGCACTCAAACACCCATATTTATGAGGCCCTGTCAGGTGGCATGCAAAAGTGAGGGTACTCCCGGACTGTGTGGTAGTGCCAAATAAAGATCAAGACCTTGTGGGCACAGTGGGTGTCCATGACTGACAACAATTGTCAGCCCTGTCATGCCCACAAGACCATGCCCTTTATGCAGCAGCTAGCCAGTATTTTGGCATCCCAGGGCCTAGGCCACAACCCTGAAGTTTTCACCAGCGGGGAGACCTTCCTAAGCCCCCACCCCATCCTGACCCCTCTGGTGGTGACACCTCCCCAGAGAAGGGGCCCTTGAGTGTTCAGTGCCTTGTCCCACCCACCTCCCCATCTGCTGCACCCATCAGCAGCTCAGGGAGCCCTGGACAATGGCTGTCTTGCCAGCTCCACACCCCCAGACCCCATCATGAGAAGCAGCTAGCCATGACACCGCTAGCTGCCAGAAGTGCCAGCTCCTCCCCGGAGGGGTGGGAGGTCCTGCCCAGACACCAGCCTACTACACACCACAGGCTGAGGACACTGGGTGCAGCTGGATGCCATCACTGACAGGGAGGCTCACACCAGGCCAGCAACCTCACCTGCCCTGGACACATGGTAAGTCTTGCACTGGGGGGAGGGCCCTCCCAGTTCCCACTCCTGCCCCTGCTCCTGGCCCTGGCCTTTGCCTCCCCACCCAAACTGTCTACACTCCCCTGGCCATGGGTTCCCTCCCACCAGCACACAGAGAGGTGGGACAAAGTTCAAAACTTCATTCAGCAATCCATCCCCCCACAGCTGGGTATGCACTGGCCTCTCTCACCCTGAGGAATGTGTTGATGCTGGCAACTATATCCTCCTTAGCAGTTGGGGGCAGGAACATGTAGTGGTGCCCAAATAGCCCTTCTGGCAGTGGCAGATGTTATGGGGCAGTCTGGGCCTGCCCCCATGCCATCATAGTACAGATTTGCCTGGGGCATCAGGAGGATCATCAACAACAGGGCATAGTGCCTCAGGTACCCCTCAGCCTTCACAGACAATTCATTGTGCACTGACCAGGACACACACAGCAGGGGCACACTTGGTGCACAGCAGTAGCATGACGGGGGTCCAGCCCCAGGCCGCCTCTCTAGAAAGGCCTCCAGTAAGGAGGGTGGTGGTGCACCCAGACTCTCACCCCAGTTGTCCAGGAGTCCTATACACCCTGAACCCAGGTGCAATAGGCTGGGCAGGGCAGAGGAAAGAGGGAGAGTGAGGTCTGGAGCCACAGCAGGAGGTGCTGCCAGCAGCCTGGCCTATCCTACCCTGGGAAGGGGGCATGGGATACAGGCTGCCTGCAAGCAAGTACCCAGTGGGCCACCAGCCCCAGGGGAGCAAGTGTGGATGGGGAAGCTTGACCAGTAGCTACCTGGTCCCAGGCCTGCCCAGTTGAATTACCATGGTCCCTGGGCACCTGTGCACAGCCAACCCCATGTTTGAGGCTGGGCAGCGCACAGCCTCTGGTGCAGAGCATCTTATCTCTGAAATGTTGCAAACTTTCAAAAAAGGCTTCTATCTCTTGCCTCTGCAGGGCCAACTTCTGGATGCAGAGGAGAGCCTACCAGCCCCAGCGGGGGTGGAGGCTCCAAGTCACTGGCATCCAGCACTGGAGCCACCTGAATCTGCCAGTGGCACACCATGAAACAGACCTTCCTACTCTAGCAGCTGGTGGTGGTGGCAAAGGAGTAGGAGGGGTGGGAGTGGGAAGTGCAGGAGCAGGCCAGCAGGTGGAGGATGTCACCCAGGAAGAGGTGCATTGTCAGGTGCAGTGGGAGCACTGAGCACGGATGGAGGCCTTGGAGCAGGAGTGCATTGAGCTACTCTGGCAGCAGGTGGGCCACTAGGCCCAGGCTGTGAAGGCTGCAGACACTGACCACTGGACCCTGGACACTCTCCTGGGCTTGGAGGTCATGTCCCCCACTGCCCAGTCCCCATCCATGGCCCTGCAGGACCCCTGGGTCCCACCCACTGTCCCACATCAGTCCCCCACCTGGCCCTGGGAGGAGGTCCTCCAGCACCTCCTGCCCATTGGGAAGGTGGCTTTATGTGTTCAGGTGGGGGGGGGATGAGAGTGAGGGTTTTGAAGGTAATAAAGCTTTTAAGTTTCAACCATGTTCGTGTTCTGAGAATGGTGCTGGGGATGGGCAGGGGGGTAGAAGGTGTGTAAGCAGTGGGGTAGGTGGGTTAGAGGGTGAGTGCAGGTAGACACCTGTCAAAAATTGCTTACTGTGCATTCGATTAATGCACAATAAATTTAGTCATGCTGAAATGCACTTGTAGACATGCCCTTACTGTACTACATTATTAACTGCATTATTAAAAACCGTTTGCTGGAGTTCCCCAATTTCTACAACTAAATATTCTCTAGAAATATATAATTATATATTTAAAAGTGAAATGGTAAACTCTTGTTTGAAATCCTATAAAGTAAATGGTTTTTCAACAGCTAGCTATTAATTTTTATGTTTTAAAATGACAAATAATTTGTGTATAGGGTTATTTTGGGTTATGTCTTTTTTATACCTATTTTAGAGAATTATTTTAAGTTCTGTTACACAGATGTTGTCTGCACTATACTTAAAATATGTTAGCATACATGTTTTAATTGATATGTGGTTAGATAGGAATATTTTATGTCTGTGTGTGAAGAGATAAGTTAGTGGGAAAACAAGAACAAAACAGTCCATGTGGTAGAGCCAAAAGTTCTGTAAATCTGTGGAAAGAACATTACATTTACCTCATGTCCTTTCTATTAGAGTTTCTTTACACACAACTCATTTTAAACCAACAAAACAACTTTCTCAATATACAAGTCCTAAATTCTTGACACCTATCCAGGATATTTTCTTCTCAAAACTATTTAATTACTGAATTATTTACCAAACGGTTGTTTTATTACAAGGTTATAATATTTGTCAACAAATCATATTGTGACAGTTCAGGTACATACAAACATTACATTTAAATCAACCTAACCAAGTTTAGGATAATTCTAAATGCTCAAGCATGCAAGTGTTCATGGGGATTAAGTTGCCCTAAAAATGGTGCACCTGATCTAATGTTAGTTTTTATCCAATAAGAACCAACTTTAGATCAGCATTGGTTAACCCGACCTAAAAAGCATCCAACCTAATGAATGCTTGCATATGTCTCCAGCACAGCCCCAGGGCTGGGAAAGCCCAGCCACTTTCCGCATCCCTGGAACTGTGCTTTTTTTTTAATACCTCACCCCCTGACCAGTGAACCCCTAGACCAGGTAGCCTCACCCCAGACCCACCAGTGCCCCCACCCTCACCTTCCCAGACACATCTCCATGACTTATTTGGCTCCAGCTACTCATGCACCTCCTTCTCACAAGCAGCATTTTTGCATGCAGAAATTCCGACTCAGGTTTAGGTAATTTAAACTAAGTTGCCTAAACCTGAACTGGGTAACCTGAACACTTATTCACACTCTCTGGGTGCATCTACATGAGATGCTGACTGTGCAGTAGCCAAAAAATACTGTGCAGTAGCACATCACAGTACAGACAATGTCAATATGCTACTGTGCAGTAGTATTAGGCAACTGTGCCGTAGTGCCACCTAAAAGACATTTGCTGATGCTACTGCACAGTAACTCCAGTTACTGTGCATTTATTTAGTAATTGCTAGTACAAGTACTAAATAAATGCAAGGTAATGTCTGCACAGTAGCATCATGAGTAAACATGCCATCTGGGGGCAAAATAGAAGGTATCACCTGAAAAGACTCTATCAGTATTGGCAACACATGGTTATTTGTTAAACATTCACTGCTCTGTAACAGGTACAATTGTTGCTTCCTTCCAGTACTTGCAAATCCTGTTTTGGGGCCTGTTCTTGCTCCTACTGAAAATATTGACAAAAATTCATTTCAATGGGCAGGACTTTTCCCTGCTTTTTTCTTCTGTTGCAGCCAGTCTTCTCAAGCTGTTATTTTCAGGTCTCACTAACAGCATTTGATAAAGAATTTCATATTTTTTAATTATGTTCAGTACTTATGTATAATTTTGGGGTAAAGGGTTGTCGGTGTTTCATCACAGAAACTAAATGACTCTGTCTATTACACTTGAATATTGTTCTCCACAGCAATGTCAACGGTTGGTGGAAATTCTGAGGGAGCCCCTTGTGTATTCCCTTTCACTTTTCTTGGAAATAAATATGAGTCCTGTACAAGTGCTGGTCGCAATGATGGGAAGATGTGGTGTGCTTCCACAAGTAACTACGATGATGACCGCAAATGGGGTTTCTGCCCTGATCAAGGTAAAAGTTTCTCAGCAGATATTTCATACCCTTTAACAAGATGCACCACTTCTCTGCCTGTCTCCATATAAACAACTAGCCAATTGCCCATCAAGAATGATGGGGGGGAAGCAGGCAGGGATGTAGCCCTGGGCCCCCTTCCATCCAGGCCCGCTGCCCCTTCCTCCTGCTGCTCGGGGTCTGGGCCCCCCCGTCTCTGCTGCAGTGGCGGGGGGAAGGGAGGAACGGGCCCAGGCCCAATGTAGGGGAGGACTGGGCCCAAGGGTGGGGAGAAGCAAGGCTGCCGTGTCAGGGAAGTGGGGGGGAGCAGCAGGTCTACAATGATCTGGTGGTGGTGCGAGGGATGGGAGCAGCAGGCTTGGGGTCAATGCAGCAGAGCAGGGGTGGGGGAGGAGTAGGCCCAGCCCCAACGGGGGGAAGAGGCTTGCTCCTCCCTTCCCCCTGCAGCTACCATGGTAAGCCGGGCCAGGCCCGCTGACCCCTTCCCACTGCTGCAGTGGGCAAGCTTTCCCACAGCTTAGGCTTGTTTCCCCACCCCCTGCATCAGGCCTGGGCCCACCCCTCCCTTGGCCCCACCATCGTTGGCGACACCACAGTGCACCAGGTCCTCCCCCCCACTGCATTGGGCCCACTTGGGGATGGGAGGAGCAGGCTCAGGGCCAAATCGGGAAAGGGGGATGGGGGAAGAGTGGGTCTAGGCCTGAGGGGGGGAGGAGGCCCACTCCTTCCCTGCCCCAGCTGCTGCTGTGGCTGCATTGGGCTGGTCCCACTTTTCCCACTTTTTCCCACCACCCCCATGGCAAACTGGCTTTTGCCCCACTCAGGCCCACTCCCCTCCCCCTCCCATTACCTGCAGGGAGCAAGAGGGGGGGGCAAGGCCCCCCCCACTCCATCCCCTGTGTTCCCTCCATCATGGCAGCAGGCTGCCTTCTGTCAGAATGCTTCTTCACACTCTCATTGGCTGTTTCCATCAGCCAATCAGAGTGCAAATAAAGCATTATGGACAGACAGACAGAGTTAGGCTTTCATAATATTAGAATGATAAAAGTATATTGACTGAACTGTTGTAAGAAATTGATGTTATAGACACTATCCTCACAATGATCTTCAAATATCCCATATTTATACCTTTGAATGCAAAACATAAAAAATGCTTTAAGAAAAATCTGACCCCAGAATTTAGGTTTCATAAGGAGCTTTTCAAAGTGACAATAGGAGAAAGAAAGACTCTAGAAAAAATAAAGTCCTTTCATTTTTAAATATCTTAAGCATTAGTCATACCTAAGAAATGTGAGGTGTTTTTTAAAGGTAGTGTTTGTAACCTTTACAAACAATTTTAAGACTGAGGCATCCAAACACATATACTTTTCTCTTTTTTCTAGGACAAAAAATAACTGCTGAAATTTCAGACAGTGTTTATAACTATTGGTAAAATGCTTTCTTTTCATACTATGGATAATCTTTCACCTGTCAACCCTATTCGTTTGTGCTCATCTATGTCACTGTCACTTCATTTTTATATGGATTATGTGGTGACTTGGTGTTGACAGGTCTGAAAGAACAGTACAAACATCCTAGTAACCTCAGGCAGGTTTTGAATACAGGATTCTTGAAATAAAAGTCTATTGCACTCATCCAGGAACTCTTCCTTTCTCATCTTGCCTAAGTAGTGTTTAACCAAGGCAAATAATGAGTAGATCTGTATATGTTTAATAGGTTTTTAATGACAAGATTTGAGGTCCAGACTGTGATTAAATTCTTCTTTCCTAAATAAATTAAGTATTTTTCTTGAACTGTCTTCTTCATTCACATAAATATTAAGTTAAAGGTTAAAGTTACTTTGCCTAGGAAATAGTGAAAATACATGCACAAGTCAATTATACAGGATGATATAGAAGACTTCCTTATGTCTAATGAAAAGTCCTTAAGAGTTGGCAACAGGTATAGCTGGAGTCTGTTTGTCTTAATTACATGAAATATTACATCAAAAATATTTACTGGGGAATCTTTTTGGTGGGTAAAGGGGAAAAGGATAGGTCATGTTTTGGAGCTGAAATAAAACCTATCTTCATTCATGTACATGACTTTTTGTGTTGTTCAGGTTACAGCCTTTTCTTGGTTGCTGCTCATGAATTTGGCCATGCCATGGGATTAGAGCACTCTGAGGACCCTGGAGCTCTTATGGCCCCAATCTACACATATACCAAGAACTTTAGACTATCTCAAGATGACATTCAAGGAATCCAGGAACTTTATGGTAATGTTTTAATCACCAATCAATATATGTTGCATACAGGCTGACCTATGGGCTTCAGAGGCTGTAGTATATGTATTTTTACTGATTTGAGATGTAACAGGAAATTTACTGTTTTCTAGCCTACCTCTTTCCAGATATTACTGAGGTGGGATCTCTGCACCCACCACAGGGGACCACACCCTCAGCCTGTCTCTTTAGGGAACTTGAGCTGACTGCATTCCTCAGGGAGGGGGGAAACCTGCTCCCTCTGCTTACGTGACTTGCATCACTTACCTGGGTAAGGGGTTTCTACCTGGGGAGCTGGAATCTGCCTGGTAACAGGTGATGCATTTCAAATTGGTTGGCTGACAGCCAACTGGGGCTGACCTCTGCTGGCCCAGGTGAATGAGGTCACAGGAGCTATATACGTTAGGACGGGGAAGGAGGCGGTCTCTCCGGCCATGAGGTGACGCAGCAGCCAGGCAGGGGACACAGAGAAGCCTTAACATCTGAAACTGGCTCTCTCCCCCTAAACTCACGAGCTAGGAACCACCTGCCTCCAAAGGGAAACTTCACCTGCCTTTGGAAGATGCTTGTGAGTAAACTACTCAATCTGATTAGATATTTAGCTGGCAGTAACATAGATGAGTAATCAAAAGGCTACCACAGCCAGACTGTTTGCTCTTTAGGATTTCTAGATATTGCTCAATCCTGTACCTTAGTTTACCCTACCCCCTGTAATCAATAAATTTCTCCTTTTTGACTGGTGTGGGAGACTTATTGAGGGGTGGGTCTAAATTATGCCTAAGAGACCCCTTAGGTCTGTGGACTAAGGGAGACTATACCTTTTTGCCCCCGGACTTGGGGAAGTACCCCAAGTGCCTGTACTGGGTTGAGTACCCGTGGGACTTTAGGCCTGTGTTACCCCAAGGACACAGGGCCGCGAGACAGTCCATTCTTGGGGTGGTGGCGGCACGTTACCCCCAGACTAGCGAGTGTGCTCCGGGAGAGGGGTCGGCCGGACATAAGGCGCCCCTAGGGAGGCATTCGGAGCCTGGAAGGTGGTCGGGCGCAGGGAGGTGGGTGGCTCGACGCAGGAGCACCCCCTACTGGCCCGCCTCACGTGGTGGAAACAGCGGAGGGATACGAATACCCAGCTGTGTTCCTGAGGTGGGATCTCTGCACCCGCCACAATTACTACCCATGTCCCAACTTAAAAACATCTCAACCCAGTAGCAAGCAGCCACTACAGTTACTGAGCTATGGAAGTCTCAAAGCCACTTTTATTATTTCCACATCTTTAGGAGGAAATTCTAGAAGTTTGTTGATGAAATGCCATGCTAGACATCCTGGGCTATCTTCTTTCTAACATGAAGTTCTTAATTCAGGGTTTTTCATGGTGGCATCATAACCATATTGCACAGGATTACTATCACCTATATTGCTAAACTGGGGAAAGACAAGATAGCTTCAGTTATCCCTTTGCTAAATGAGAGAGGATGATGTAAGGGTGTTCCTAGTTCAGAAAAAAAACATACAACCTCCACCCCAAAAAAGCAGTTTTAGGATTTAGATTTTTAGTTTTTACCCTTTTAGACTATTGCCAGTCAGGATATTCCACAGGAAGAAACAGACTCCTTAGCTATCATGAATCATTCTGCCCTCAGAGGACTGTACAGCTCTGGTAGATTTCTGAGAGATGTTCATTTATAGTTCAGGACAGAACCTAGGACTAGCCAAGAGGTCAGACTTTTCTCAAGTATACTTCTTATTATCAAGAGAGAAAATGCTTCACCAGAGCTTTATTAGTAGCTTTATTTATTCCCCTTGTAGATACACAAGCAGCAGCTCATATACAGAATCCAGCCTTCCTCTTTTGACACCAGCTAGGAAAAGACGGAAAAAGGATATTCAAATATGTGTTTCAAAAAGCTTTTCTGTTAAAAAAAAATATAAATAAGATACAGATATTTAACAGATGCATGTTACCTCCATCCTAGCACTGGTTTTTTTTTTAATTTTGCTTTGGAATTTGAACAGTGTTACCTTCTTCACCGAGAAGTCATTTTCAGAAACTGCTGATCAATTGTGATGGTTAGATTAAAATGAGTTGTGTTAAAGGATCAAGTTGTTTTTCAAGAGTCTCTTGTTTCTGCTCTGGTCAATTTAGGGAATTACTATCTGCATAGCAGATTTTTACAGGCCCAGTAATACATCAGGTTATTGTAGCCTAGGTCCTCATACACTGAGTCCTAAGACAGCTAGACTGGTTGACAGTTCATATAGTCCCTGATACATTTCAAAATTGTGTGTGAATAATCAAACTTGTCACCTAATTCATGTATTGATAATGGGGTACAATGGATTCATATTGTGTTGTATCTTTCCTCTCTTGCCAGGTCATTATCACACAATCTGCTTACACAATGCGACTAAGAGACAATTTTAATGCTTCCAAGTATTAGAAGTTGACCAGTTTTCAACAACTGATAGAAAGCAGAATGTATAATCAATTGGAGAACCAAACAAAGTTTAAACAGTTACTACACTTTAAAAAAAGGGAGGGACAGTTCAAAAAAAAAGGAGAGAGAGAGAGTAAAGAAATGCAGGAGCTAGTTAAACAGGTCCATCTTATTCTATTATTCATTTTTTTTACTAGTGAACCACTGCTGGATGGTCCATCAGACAACATTAAAGAAAGAGACGCAACTAGAGTAGCAATTCAACATAAGCAGATAGAGTTAAACTGGTCGTCAGATGAGTCAGGAAAAATTAGGGCTCCCTGCCACAATTCAGGCTGATCAATAAAATGAACAACTTTTGCATAGGATATGGTACTTGTATATACCATATACCTACTGCAATCTCTGTGAGGAAAAAGAGAGTATCAGCAAGTTGAATCCTGGCATATTTTTAATATTTATCATATTTCTCTAGGGTGATTACATGGTGATTGTTAGCTGGCTTAGAGCTGTTGTTTTAAAATTATAAGTTTGCTAAATATTTTACAGTCTAAAGAGACAAGGCAAAGTGTTTTGGAAGTGGATGCAACATACAGGCAAAAAAGTTTGGAAACTTAAGCACAGCAAACGTAAGTGATTTTCAGTAAGATCACACTGAAAATCTATGGCAAAGAGTAAAATTAAACCAAACTCTCTTTAATTTCAGCTGTGAGCCTGAATTATAGAACCATAGCCCCTTTAACTGCAGTAATACTAGGCATTTTGTTTTGGTATTTTTTAAGTTATGCAAACTTGCATTTTGCTTTTGAGACTGTTATAATTTCCCATTTTCTAGCATTACTCAAGGTTAGACTGAATCAGCTGGAACACCCCTTTGTTTAATGTGTTTAATGATGTTAAATGACCTGACTGCTAAGAAGCATCCAGTAAGGCAACACAGCAGCAGCCAAACAAGAAAACAAAATAAAATATGCCAGATGGCAAAGTGTATGTTTTGAAGAGCGTATTTTAACTCTTAATGAGAGGGAAAAGACTACAAATGACTCAAAATGTGTATTTATAGCTTGCAAACTGTTAGATGGCTGGACAAATCATAGCACAAAAAGCTGGGATGTACAGTCTTAGTTTAGAATTATCTGCTCATCAGTTCAGATGTCAAAGAAAAAAACTAACCTAAAACACTTTAGCTCATTATTTAAATTACTCCATCTCTGGAAAAGAAAAAAAAAGCTATACATAAAAATTGGCACTAAAGACTGCATCTCAAGAAGAACTTGCATGGAGGGGCAACAGAAAGACATAGACATAACATGTCTTGACTGCAGTTATATGTCAGGTTTTTAAAGAGCCAAGAACAGAACTAAGGCCTTCTGAGTCGTGATCCTGTATCCTGTCTTCCAAAACATTTCTTATATTTCTACAATAAAAATCTTCAAATTGCTGTGATAATTGCTTCCCTGACATAATTTTTTCATTTAGTGGTTTAGGGTCTTCATGTTATCAAAGTAACAATACACTTGGATTTTATTTAATATATCTGTTCTCCATTATAGGAGGATCAACTGATGTGGGCCCAGGTCCAGGGCCAGGTCCAAGTCCAACCCTTGGGCCAGTCACTCCAGAGATATGCAAAAATGATATTGTATTTGATGGAGTCGCCCAAATTAGAGGAGAAACATTTTTCTTTAAGGACAGGTAAGAGAAGCTAATGTCACTGGGAGGGGAAGGAAAATTTCTGCTATGCTACCAAAACAAATCTACAAAACCTAAAAAGTTGTCATTAAGCATTCTGCTCTTTCTTCCATGTGCTCAAACATGGAAAAGTGTCCTCATAGACTCCTGTGAGAGGGAAGATAACCATCTACCTGCCTGGATCATAGAAAAGCGAATTTATAATTAGGGACAGGCTGGCAGGTTTATATGTATGAGCATTATCCCCCAAATTAATCTTTTCTTCAAACTAAGTTCAAACTTTGAGATTCTAGGAGGTTCATGTATAGTGATTGTTTTAGGTGTATTTTGTGGGGAAGGGTTGGTTCATTTCCAGTTTTAAGACTACACTTGCCAACATGCTATGACAACCACTGGGATGGTTGTAGTGTGTGCCAGAATGAAGAAATGTCAGAAGCCTCGTGAAAGAGCCTTTTCTCATAACATTTCCATCCCAAATCTACAAACTGAAGAGCCAAAATTATTCTTGATGTCACTCTGCTGGCTTCTGTGGAGTCACACAAGGGATGAATTCAGCCCCAAAAGGTCAAATAATTCAGAGAGGAATCAAAACTTTTGAATGATTATTCAAACCAGACCAAAACTCTAGGCCTGTAGAGATTTGCCCATTTGTATTGTTAATCAGAAAATTAGCAATGGATTAATGCATTAGTTAATCCATTCTCTTCCAGATCAGGATTTATTCCCTATAAACATTTCCAGAAACCTTGCATTGCATAAATATAAGAACTGTAACTCCAGCTATGGAAAATCCTCCACTTCCTGTTGAAGAGAGCTCCCTATATATTGTCCTTCATAATTTTACTGTTAATGGTTTTCACTTATTTGATATGTTGTTAGAATTTTTAGATCAAGGTACAGGGAAAATGGAAAAAAATATTATCAACTTGCATATATCTAAGCACATACACAAGCAACACGTTTTCAGGTTCATTTCAATGGCCTCATATATACATTTTACCATGGAGGTAATTTTACCCTGGAGGTTTTATTCATAAGTTCCAGTGCTAAATTATAGTGCAGATGGCAGGTAGCACCATCCACGTATGCTGTTAATTTTAGAGTTCATTAAAAAGTAACAGAGTTCTCTGAATAAATTCCCATACAAGAAAGATTCAATGCAGGTAGAGTCTAGCATCAACACATAATAGCACTGTGTGAACTGAAGTTGCTATAATGGCACATCAAGGCCATGAGTGGCTGGTGTAAACCTACCTAAGTGTTCTGTATGTTCTGGCTTCTGCTAGGTCCTAAGGGTTGAGGCAATGACATAACTAAGGAGGGGTAGAGGGATCATAGAGGCATTTGCCTTGGGCACCACCTTGCCTCTTTCTCTTTGCTCAGGGAGGTCCACACACCACACCCTGTGGCCTGGTCCTCCCCTGCACCAGGCCTGCTTCTCCCTCCCTGCAACTGCAGCAGGGGGGAGGGGAGTGGGCCCGGACCTCAAGCAGCAGGAGGGAAGAGAGAGCGGGCCCAGACCGGGGGGGGGTGGAACTCCATCCCCACCTGCTCCTCCCCTCCCCCCCACATCATTCTTGACTGGCAATTGGCTAGTAATAGTATAATCTTCAATTTTTTTTAAAGCAGACTATCTAATTTAAAGCTGCTTATATAGTGGTTCAATGCATGGAATTGGCGCTAATCAAAATGTCATCTCTTCTGTTGTTATTCTGTTGTCCCAGAAAAACGTGTGTGAAACCTTTTTGTTAGATTTGTCCCAAGAGTGCCGGAAATCACCACAGATGTGCACTCTGCTGAAACATGAGAGGCTTGTATACTTTGACTAGAACAAGGTGTGGTCCCAAAATATATACACCAGTTTCCCAATATTGGGCAATTTAGTATTCATTTTTGTCTGATTGTGTTATGCATCCAGAGGTCTTTTCAATATTTAATTTTCAGCTGGAATTTTTTTTGTTTCTTGTAAAATAACATTTCTCAAATCCATATTCTTCTATTATATTTAAATTATCCTTTTAAAGAAAATAGATGGGGTAAAATAGATGGGCAGACTCAGTGAGCCTACCACCTTAACTCTACCAACTTCAGTTCACTCGACTCATATCAGTGTGAGATTAGAATAAAGTATCATGGGCTGAAAGGCTACTGCTGCTAGATTTGCATGCCAGCAGTAAAGAGGCTGAAGTGAAAAATGTAAGCATGGGAGAAAAACTTAGTAAAGAGATTACGGCCAACTCTGTAGTAAACTGTACTGCTCTAGGCAGGGGCCACTAAAGCAAAGCAATGTAGTCACAGAGGCTGTGTCACACATGATGTGGACATTTGGTTCCCCAGGGACAACTAGCAGCAATGCATCTTGTGCCTCTGCTAGTTGTCCCCAGGGAACACCCAAGCCGTGCACACTCTGATATGTGGCAAGGTGGGGTAGGGGTGGCTGAGGACAATACTGGCTGACCCCAGCATTCATACCTGGGGTCTTGGGAGCCTTCCAGGGCTGCAGCCATGTCACTTCTGCCACATGGAGCCTGGCTGGCAGTGGAGCATGGTTCCAGCCAGCCAGTCTTCAGCTTTGGCCAGTACACACTGCCACCACATGCACCACTCCACTTTTTTTCTCCATGGGTTTTTTTGATTCCTGGATATCCAGGGATCAAAAAACCCTCTGTGCTGCTCCCTTGCAGTGTGGCAAGCAATTGAATATGAGGTATATGGCATCTACAGTGCCACATACCACACGGCTGCACTTGTCTGGATGTGGCCAGACAGGCTGAATTTGCTATGTAGGTAAGGCCTATGTAGACATAGTTAGATCCTGATCCCTGATGAAGGGGCTTAGTGCTTCTATAATTTTAATTGGCCTCCAAGAATTTCCTGTTCAAGCATCTCTGATGGGATGGGGGGTAACTTAGAAGTGCCTGTGCTGTGGTCCATCAATTCCCAGAGTAGGAGGCATTCCTGGGGTGCCTTAGCTTAGCAGTTCACAACTTTAATGATGTTCCCTTGTGGTCTGTGGGCCATTGCACCAACAGACTAGCATTGCAGAAAGCCACCTTGGGTGCATCTACACATGCAATTAATTTGAAGCAATAAACTCTGGAGCAGTTCAAGCCAAAGTAAACTGCTCCTGGGTGCAGAATCAAAGTATGCAGCTCCTGGGTGCAGCACCTACATGTATGTCCAGGACAACTGCAATTTGAGCCAGGGTGGAGCAGGCCTCTAGCTAGCTGGGCTGACAGGGCACAATTTACACTCCCAGTCACCATCTACACATTTTCAGCGCAGTTAATTATTCTTCTGTAAGATAGTACTGTCACAGTACTATTCTATAGCCAAATTAATTAGTTTACTGTGCCCTAATATTGGTGCACATGTAGACAGTGATACCTTATTAAAGAGCTAATTAGCAGGCCTGTGTGAAGCAGCTAGTATTTTATTCAGAATTGGATTTGGCCGACTCAGGGGATGGTGATTCAATTCAGAAGCTTTTCTAAAGATTCGGAGAGCTTCGAATCAATTCAGACCTTTTAATTGGTCCCCTGATTTGATTCAGATTCGGAGATTCAGCCACTGAATTGGGCCAAATTTCCTCTGAATCAAATCACCACCAGAAGCTTCACACAGCCTTACTAATTAGTCTACTCTATAGTAAAGTGCATATGTGGGTACACCTTTTGAGAGCTAAGCTGCACAGACCTGGACTCCAAGATTTGGCCCACTCTCTATTTACCATAATAGGACAAGCACTAGCAATCTAGATTGTTTTACTTGAGCTTCTATTTAGCTAAATGCAGTCTTTAAATAAAATCCATTTACTTTAAAAGAAAAAAAAAAGGAGATTTTAGTGACAGCTCAAAAATGTATCTTCAAATCAAATTTGCTGGGTAAACACTGCAAAACTTCCAAAAGCAGCTTAATAATTTTGTATAACCTATTTGGATAGCAGGCAGCTCACATAATTGCCACCCTGTGGTTATATTGTAATATGACCAGGTCATATTCATCATTTTTAGGACTTGATTTTCCATCAGGCTGAAATCTTGCCTCTGTTTTTATAAATAGAATATTGCTGCTATATATGGGTGGTCACTTAGGTTTAATTCCAGAAAGTACCTAGGCCTGGATTAAATGATTCTGTATTCAGTAAATCACTTACACATATATTTAATTCTACGTAAACATTAATACATAATATTAATGTTGAATTTTATAATCCACTGCTAACATAAAAATGCAGCCATCGTTAGTTTTAGACAGAAATAGATTCCCTAAGCAGAGGCCATTTCTGCAAACCCAAACCTTATAAGGAAAATTCCATTCATTGTCCTAGGGAAGAGACAGAGAAATGGATACATAAATCTATGGAATCTGTACTGAGCCCAGAATTAGACTGTTATACATTAGTTCCATCTCTTTCCTTCTTTTCTTCATTTGGCAGTTCTTTGCCATAATGCAGATCATAACTTCGGTGTAATCAATTATATTTTATTCATAAATCTGTCAGAATTAACACTGAAATGCAAACATTATGAATGTGTAATTACAAGGCATTTTGAACTGAATATGCAGAATGAGAACAAAATATGACTTTCAAAATGTAGGCAGTATAGCAGTTGGTACAAGACTAACGAAAAAGATTTTATATGTTGTTTATATTGATATGTTCTTTATTTAACATACAGCAAAAATAGACAGTGAATATTTATTTTGCTTTGGAATTCATTTGCCTGCTGGTCTTGTAGCTTTCCCAAGTTTAGGAGTGGAGGGTGAATACAAACTTGTGACCATTCTGGAATTAAAAAAATAAGTTGTGATCATGGATCTTGTGACTTTTGTGATTCATCTGCCTTAATGAAACCTGCCACAGTATCCAACTGCTAAGTCATACAGAAGTAAGACAGGGTGTACAATGAGGAGAAAGACCAGATTATTTGTTCAAAGAAAACTTTTGTTCATACTAATGTGACTAGAGCCAAGAAATTAAGAAAGAAAAATGTAATGAATGCATACTATACTGTACTTAATTGGACTGTTCCCATAAAGACCCACTACTCCATACCACAAAGACATATTCAAACAGTCTTTTTCATTAAAAAAAATCTAGCACTCATACATCTGTTTTCATTCTAAACTGGAGCAAAAAAATCCAAAGTTTTGAAACTTACTGTGAAACTACAGGTTTCCCTCGCTTTATGCAGTACAGGAGTTCCTGGAAAACACTGCATAACTTGAATTTGTATAAAGGAAACCCAGCTTACAATGTAACAAATAGGGATACATTCCAAGACCTTGACTGTACTGACCTCCAAACCCATTTCCACCACTTCTACAAGACAATTTTGGTACTCACCAAGAGCAGACACTTGGAGATAAGTTAGCGGGATGCTTAGAAGCCATAATGGGGACAGCAACTATAGAAACATATGTCGCAGACAACGAGCAACAAGCATAGATCCACACAGGAGACTATTTTGGTGCATGTCACTCCCACAATGCACCACACAAAGCATCTGACTGCGGGCTTCCACCACACTGATTGTATAAGAGTGAATTTACCTCTCATATAACAAATTTTTGGTATACAAAGAGTCATCACATAAGAGTGAATTCACACATACAGAACCTGTATAAAGCAAGGGAAACCTGTAACGTTCGGGGTGGGGGGACGGAATCTAATACAGTAAAAGCTCTGTTATCCAGCATCCCCCACAGAATGGGGGACGCCGGATAACAAAATATGCCGGTTAATTGAGCAGCCCGAACAGGTGCCCTTGCCTGTTCGGGCCGCTGTTTCTCCCGCCCCTCCTGTGGCATTGCAGCCCCTCCTGCGGGCCCTGTGGGACAGGGAGGCAGGCCCCACACAGCCTATTATGCCCCCAGGCCATGGGGGCTTGGCAGCGCTTTCACTTTACCTTACAAGCCGGCATGCCAGTTAATAGAGCATGCTGGCTTATAAGGTACTGGTTAACGGAACTTCTACTGTATTTTGAAATTGCTAAATAATGTTACTATGATCATGTTGAAGTGCTTTGATGAGACTAGGTGTGTCTACATGGAATGCTTCATCACTATGCCATAGTAACATGCTACAGTGGCATAGCGTTTGTGGGCAAAAATTGTGATGCCGCCACTACATTGCCATAGCAATGCACTTCCTCAGTGTAGCGCATTTCTATGATGACATAGTGGCTAAAAATAATTGTGTACCACCAGCATAGTACAGTATGGGCTGTTACTTCACCACCATTTAGTACTTCAAAAAGGAAGTACTACATAATGGTGCAGTAACAACAGCACCATAGGGGCATGTGTAGATGCACCCACTAAAGTAGACTGTGAAAAAAAAAAGGATTTTAGATACAAAAATTTACACCCACATGACTATTTTTATATAATATGTGCTGAAACATCCAGATATTATCAAAAAGAAATAATAAAAATTCAAATGGCTCCTTTCAAGTTTTACTCATCAAACTTCATTTGAATTAAGTTTGATACAGCTGCATTTTCAGCTGTTACGCTGAAAACATTCATCCAGTTCTATTAATTAGAAACAAGCCTGAACAAAATCCCTGTTGTCAAACCCATCTGGGCACTGGGAGTTCCATTAGAATAAAGATTCGAGGTAAGGATGAGGAAGTGACATTTTTTCACTCCAGGGAACTAAGATAATACTGGTGAAAGCACTGTTTGACCTGGAAATTAGTTTAGTATCCGCCAGCTAATGCATGTTGCAACTGAGTTTTCCACTAGCTTGTTGATTTTTCATGTTGGAAAATTGGCAAACTGAAGGAAGGCTTTTGTTCTGTTGAAAAAAAAGGCTCTTCATTCCATCAGGGAGGGGAAACAGTTGTTCCTTTGTTAATATCAATGCATTCTGCACAAGGCACTGCCATTTAAAGATAATTACAGCTTTTTAAAGCTTAAATCAAACAAAGATACTGCTTTTACATAAAATAGCCAATAAATTACCCTTTGCATTTCTCTAATGAACATTTTAATGCTCGTGATCTCTTTTAGCACCAAGCTCACTTCCAAGCTGTGTGATATACTGTTATTAGATCTGAACTTTTAGTGACTACAATAGTAATTGTAAGAGCAATTCACAGAATACAAATCTCTGCTTTTGTCAAATACTTGTCCATCCGCTCCATATGCAACAGCAGCAGGATATCTGTAATAATTTAAAAGCCTTGTAAATGGGTTTATTTGTATAATTCAAGCACAGCCTACATTTTACTATGGTAGGAGAAGCAATGTGAACCCTTAAGCAATCAATTTTATGCAATTGCAGTGGTGGTCCAGCATGTAGTATATTATATGCAACTATTCTATTAGCATGCTGCGAAACAAATCATACTTCCTCCATTCAATATTCTAAGTCAACAGCCAAGTAATTAGAAGTTTGGGCAGCTATTAATTGACTGGGTGTGTATGTGTGCTTGTGTCAGAGAGGGGGAGAGAAAGCAAGCGTGTGTGTGTGTGTGTGTCTGTGTGTGTGTTTAGGAGCATATTGTACCTTTGCCAAAAATTATGAGAAACAGATGTGCTGATGAATTAGTTCATTGTAAACGCTGTGCAATTTTCTCTTCTGCTCAGATTCATGTGGAGGACTGTAAACCCCCGAAATAAACCCACAGGTCCACTTCTTGTTGCTACATTCTGGCCCGATCTGCCAGACAAAATTGATGCTGTCTATGAGGCCCCTCAAGAAGAGAAGTCTATATTTTTTTCAGGTACTGGCTTGAAGTTGTAATTGCAAGATGTCACTTATGTAAGTACTGCATTCAAATGTGGCTTCTTGTAGGTCCAGATAGTGCAACACTGAAGGCTGCTATATCAGAAGGGTCATGAATGTTAGATTTTAATTATTCCTGTCTGTTGGCTTGGGAATTGAAACTGCAAGTTACTGAATACCCTCACCTCCCATTAAACAAAGAACAGCTGAAAGACAAGCACAGCAGCAGTCAGGATGAAACAATAATTCATTATTGAAAAATAATAATAATAATGCATGCTCTGACGTGTTCTTCACAATCAGATGCTGAATTTTCTTTGGCAACCCTCCCCCTCCCCACCCCACTGCTAGCTTATAGGATCAATACACTTAATTTCTCTTTGAGCTTTTGCTACGTTTTTCTCACGTTCTTCTGCTTCAGCTTCACTGCCTGCCAAAGACGAATCCTTGCTCTGCTTTCCAAGAAGTGAATTTGGTTTCTCATCAAGTAGAAAGGATGCAGGCAGGAATGCTAGCTAGTTTGGTGGGGGAGGATGAGAAGAACAGATAGGAGTTAGTACGCTGTCCATTGTAAGTCATATATGTGGTACAGCTGTATAGGCCAAACAAGTGAAGCTGGGAGATTGTTTTCATTATTTGAAAAACTAAGCCAGCAAGAATTGTGGTATCTACTGAAACATGACTAAACATCCCTAACCACCTAGACACCATATGGCTAATGCTGCTGTGCATTTTCTGAAAAGGAAGAGGGTGGAGGGAGGGGGATGGAGAAGAGGGGAAGAGAATAATGATAATTTATTCTGCAGGCCTGAATGATTGTTGGATTCATAGGTTAATAGATGTAGGGTCAGAGGGAACCTGAGCAGATCATTAAGTCCGACCCCCTGCCCTGGGCAGGAATGAATACTGGGCTCATATGACCCCTAGTAAGTTTAAGCTCGTATGATCCCAGCTAGGTAGTTATCAAGCCTCCTTTTAAAGACCCCTAAGGTAGGAGCCAGCACAACTTCCCTTGGAAGCTGGTTCCAGATCCTGGCCGTCCTGACTGTAAAGTAGTGCCATCTGATGTCTAGCCTGAACCTACTGTCAGTCAATTTGTGGCCGTTATTCCTTGTTAACTCCGGGAGGTGCTCAGGGGAACAGGGTCTCACTCATTCCCCTCTGGTCACCCCTGGTAAGTTTATAGACAGCTACTAGATCCCCTCTCAGCCTTCTCTTGTGCAGGCTGAACAAGTTCAGGTCCCATAGCCTCTCCTTGTAGGGCCTGCCCTGCTGTCCCCAGATCATGTGAGTGGCCCTCCTCTGGACCCTCTCAATGCTGGCCGCATCCCTCTTGAAGTGCAGCGCCCAGAACTGGATGTAGTACCCCAACTGTGGCCTGTGTCGCAGAGAGGGGGAGGATCACCTCCTTAGACCTGCTTATGATGCATCTGTGGATGCATGACAAGATGCGGTTAGACTTGCTGACTGCATCCCCACACTGGCGGCCCATATTCATTTTAGAATCGATGATGACTCCAAGATTTCTTTCTGCCACCGTGCTTTCGAGAAGGGAGTTCCCCAGCCTATAAGTATGCTGCTGGTTCTTACTGCCCAGGTGTAGCACGCTGCACTTGTCAGTATTGAATCCCATCCTATTCAGATTCACCTACCTCTGTAACATGTCCAGGTTCAGTTGTATCCTGTCCCTCCCTTCTAGCGTGCCCACCTTGCCCCAAATCTTGGTGTTGTCAGTGAATTTGAACAGGGTGCTTTTCACCCCCTTGTCTAAGTCGCTAATAAAGAAATTGAATAGTACAGGCCCGAGGACCGAGCCCTGGGTCATATTCAACCCTCCGGGTTGAATATGACCCATCCATCACCACTCTCTGGGTGTGGCTCCCTAGCCAATTTGCAAGCCACCTGGCTGTGTAGGCATCAATGCCACAGTCACATAGCTTTTTAAGGAGAATGAGATGGCAGACAGTGTTAGAAGCCCTTCTGAAGCCCAGAAAGACTACATCTGCCGCGATACCGGTGTCCAATGATTTTGTGACCTGATCATAGAAGGCTCTCAGGTTGGTGTGACAGGACCTGCCCTTAATGAACCCATGCTGGTTGCCCTTGAGCATCCTCCCTGCTGCTGGGCCCTCACAGATGTGCCCCTCACAGATGTGCTCTTTTCTCAAAGAACTTCCCCAGGACCAAAGTAAGACTAATGGGCCTATAGTTACCTGGGTCTTATGTCATCCTGGATTGGGATGATATAATTAAAAAAAATAAAGACTCTGTACAGCCAAAACAAAGTACTTAGAATATCCCCACTTGTTTTATAGAGTTCTATTGATATTCACCCATTTGGATGTGCATTGTAAAGGGTAATACAGCTAATCTAACATAGGGAAACAAATTAAGCAGGAAAGACTACCAAACAATAAAAGATCACTAGGAAACCGTCTATAAGCCAGTTATCATAAAATCTTAGTACTAGCACAGCCATGATCATTTTGGAAACTTGCCAGCACTTAGATGCTGCACCTTATAGCTTTTTTTAGCTTAATCCCTGCCTGGTCCAACTTTTAAATTAAGTCAGTGGAAAGATTTCTAGCATTCATAATTATTATAATATAAGTCTCATAAAATGCATTTTTCTGGAGTGAGTTTTCCATGACTCTCAGTGAGTAACTGACATAAACAGGAATATTTGCAAAATATGTATGTATCCACTTCATATATATGTTGCAGAATCAGGGCCCTAAAATATTTACCAAAATGGAAAGTTTTGCATTTTTGAAGACCACAGAATAAGAACATTTTTAAATGTTTACTATGAACAGCTACCTTATATTCATTATATTTGTACTTAATTTAACCGATTAATAAAAAATGCAGAAACAAACAAACTGTCCATGGAGCGGGGGGTTAGAATATGTAAATTATTTTCATTATTGCCATACTAATTGAAACTCAGGTCTCACTGTGGTAGGAACTGTCCATAAACATAGAAGAGAAAGTTTTCACCCTAGGGAGTTTATCATTAAAGTTTGAGAGAGGCAAGAGTAGGAAAATCAGACACGCAGAGAAATCACTTGCTCAAAGTCAAGGAACAGTACCAGAACCAGGAATCCCGTGAGTCCTGGTCCAGCAATCTTAATGTACACAGCATCACGTACTAACAGCTCAAACAGGGCGCATCTACATGAGATACTACTGTGCAGTCAATACTGCACATTTATTTAGTACTTGTATTAGCAAGTACTAAATAAATGTGCAGTAACTGGAGTTACTGCACAGTAGCATCAGCAAATGTCTTTTAGGTGATGCTACTGTGCAGTAGCCTAATACTACTGTGCAGTAGCATATTAGCACTGTACGTACAGTGATGTGCTACTGTGCAGTATTTTCTGGCTACTGAACAGTCATCATCTCATGCAGATGTGGCCACAGATTCATAAAAGATCCCAATAAAAAGATCCCAAAACTTTTCCTGTTAAGTTGCTTGGTAACCAAGTGAATTGTCTTGTAACCACGTGTTTCTTTCTCATTTAGGAAATGAATACTGGGTTTACTCAGCCAGTAATTTGGAGCGAGGATATCCAAAGAAACTCACCAATCTAGGGCTACCTCCTGATGTTCAACGAGTTAATGCAGCTTTTAACTGGGGCAGGAACAAGAAGACATACATTTTTGCAGGCGAAAAATTTTGGAAGTAAGATACAGTTAAGGTGGCCTACAGTCAGATAATCTCACAGCTGGAATGGTGAACACTGGGCGCATCTACATGAGATGCTAACTACACGTAGCCTAGTAACACTGTGCAGTAGAGTGCTGGGCAAAACCGGTGCTAATACACTATTGCGCAATAGTATTAGGCTACTGAGCAGTTAGCCATGGGTGTAAAAACCCATGCACTGGCACTACTGTGCACTAGCACCAGTTATTGCATATTCATTTTGTCCTTGGTTATGCAGGTACTAAACTTAATGCACAGTAACTACAGTGCATTAATGAACATAGATGCACCCAGTGATTCTCAGTGAACTTGAACATAGGTAGCAAAATATTCTTAACTAGAAAAGAGCCAAAGAAGTGTTATATCCCTTTGGCATTACCAAAACAATGTGGTCAGCTCATAATACCTAGAACAAAACCTCCAGGAGATTTTCAAAGGAACAAATAGCAGTTAGGTGAACAGCATTGGGAGCTTAACACCTGATGTGCCATTTTTGCCTTTGAAAAATCTCACCATGAGCCATTATGCTTGAAAGCCACTGGAAAGAAAAGTGGGGAAATAATACATTTAAATGATGATCAAAATTTGTTGGGGTGTGATAGGTTTCCTAACAGCAACCTAAGTACCATTTGCTTTACTTATGCAGTTGATGTTGAGGAGAACTAGGCAAATTTTGCAGAAATATATCTGTTAATGGTTTGAAAATTCTTAGCTTGAATTCATGTTTACAGCATCCCAAACCTTTTTTAAATGTTTTCCATGAATGTGTGTATCCCAGGATGTCCTGAATGTTTATGTGTGGAATGTCTGTCAGAGGATTAACATACGATACAACTTAGGTGACTGAACACATATTTCAAAATGCCATATCATTTGTATTATTCTTAAAATGCTTTTCAGTATTGCAATGGTGACTAGAGGCCAAACCAAGATTAGTTCCATTCATATTAGGTGTAGCATATATTTATATTAAGTAAAAAGCTGCAACAATGATCTTACATTTTAAGTATAAAAGCATACAAAAATACCCACAAAGAGCAATAAAGTATCCCCATTTAAGAGAAAATAGAATTAAAACACGATAACTGATTTAATTAAGGTTATAATGGGCCTACATGAGATCCTTTATTAGAGATTAGAGCTAATTAGAACTAACTACTGTGCACTGTCTACATGTGCAAATGCTTACTGCGCACTAATTAGCTCTAATCATGAGCAAATGTGCTACCCATAAATACAAATAGCAACTTTACTCTTGATTACTTACTGCACAGTATGGCATATATACATGGCTGATTGGGAGTAAATGTGCTCCTGGTCAGCCGGGCATCAGAGGGCAGAAGATTGCTCCCTGCCCCTGGGAGCTGCCTGCTGCTGGGGTGGGCTCTGGCACTAGAGCCCAGGTAGAGACAATGTCCCTCTGCCCTGGCAGCAGGGAGCTCCCAGTCCCTGCCTCCCAATAGCAAACAGGAAACAGGAGCTGGGAGATACTTATCGCCTAGCCCAAGCACTGTGCTCATGATCACAGAACAGGGGCTAGGAGCTCCCTGCTGCCCAGGCAGGGGGACTTTGTCCATGCCTGGGCTCCAGTGGCAGAGCTGGCCCTGACAGCAGGCAGCTCCTGGGGACATGGAGCAATTTCCCATCCTCTGCCAGGAGACAATTGTCTCCTGGCCTCTTGCTCCCTCCCTGCCAGCTTCTAAGCTAACATCCAGGGGGAGCCTAGAGCTCCCCCTGGCTGCTGCAGGGGCCTGGTGCATGGCCACAGGGAACAGGAGCAGTCTGCCCACATCCCTACGCATGTAGACCAGGACAGTTTACTCTAAAGTAATTTATTCTAAAGTTTACTTTACTGTCCAGTTTACTGCCCTGGACAGTTTACTTTAAAGTAATTTATTCTAAAGTAAACTGATCCCACATTATTTACAAAGTACTCCCACAGAGAATCTGTGCCCTTGCTGAGGGCTGAACCAGGTTTCTGAAAAGCTATTCTTCCTTCCTAAGTACTCAATGGAGTATTCAATAATTGCATTGGAGGATGCTTTGTTCAAATTTTTGCTACACAAATGGGACAGTTTTACCCCACTTCTTACAACTGCTTGGAGCCTGTAAAACAAATTTGAACCCCGTGTTGGGAGAAAATGTTTTAAACATTGGTCTGCTGGTATGGTTGAAAGACTCATATGAATTATCTTATGTTATCTCTGAAGAGCAGTGTTCCCTCTAAGCTGCATGCATGTGCAGCCGCATACAATAAAAATCATGCCATGCAACAGTGTGGGACCCGTGCACACCTACCTGTCAGCCACAGTGCCAGGGAGCAACCAATTGCGGGGCAGATCGAAGAAGCACATGCCAAAACTGGGAGGCAGGACCAATTTGGGAGCAGACCAAAGTGGTGCACTCATGGACTGAAGTGGCACGCTCACAGACTGCTACACCTTAGAGGGAACATTGCTGAAGAGGTGGCACAAAAGAAGTTCCTAAAACATAGGAATCAGTTTGAATATTTTGCTTAACTGGGGAGACCTGTCCGAATAATACTTATTAAGTGGCAAGCTCGGAATTGAATCCAAAATGCCCTAATTTCTAGTCTTTGACTTATTAGACACCAGACAGAGCTTCCTTGCAGATAGAATTAGGGCAGACTTCAGTCTGAGGAACATGCTTCAAATTCTAGGTTAAAATAAGAGCCGTTATGTAAAAGCAAATTAAAAATCAGGCAGGTAATATAGTTTCCAAGTTTTTAGTATTCTTTCAGGAGATATACACTACAGCATATCTCAAGGTTGTATCCAGTGTAATTGAATCCTTTTATATGAACATTAATTTCATGTTATTACCAGAGTGGATGAAGTGTCTTTTTATTGCCTAATGGCTAACAGTTCCTGTAAGTAAATAAAATACCTTTTCACAAAGCTTACCATTTGAAAGAAAATTATGATCTGTTACCTGCAAGGACAGCACTCTTTTTCCCCATTATCTTAAAAGCAACTGATTGCTTGTCATTCATTTTTGACATGTTCACTATTCATTGATCATGTTTAATATTGCCAAACATTTATAAAAATAATCACGTGCAGTACTTCAGATTTTTACTAAGATTTACAGGCCATGAGTTTGCAAAGCTGCTGGTTTCCCCCTTAATGCTCATTGTTTTGATTAACTGTACCCCAGGGCCCCCCAAGAAATTTATCACTCTAATCACAGGCACTATTTTTATCAAGGAACCTTATCAGTTGCTGTCACTGTAGAATGTATAATTTATTGTTAAGAAAACAAATGGTTTACCTGATTTATATATGTTTAAAGAAGATAACCAGCAATCAGAAAACACTTGAGAAAATCCAACTGTACTTAACATAGATATTATAACCTTTAAATAAGTGACTGTTTCATTGTGTGCAAGACAGAAACAAAATAGATACATTACAAAATCTTTTCCATGCCATTATTATACTTTTTTAACAGATGCATTTTAATTCTGCACTGCTCCTTTATAATAGGTTTGTTAAGCAAAGGAGGGCGGTATGAAGTGGTTCAGGAAAACAACATCTTCATTAGAATTAAAAATCTGAATTTTTCAATCTGATATTTTGTAAAAGCAAAAGCAGTTTACTTGGAAAAGAATATCCCAGGATGAAATTGGCCACATTTGCATTCAACAACAATTACATTTTAAACTGGAAAGGCTGCAGAATTCATAGTTTCATAGTTTCTAGGGTCGGAAGGGACCTGAGCAGATCATCTAGTCTGACCCCCTGCCAT